TCATTAATTTTTTAAAAATATCAATCTACGTTCTCCTAAGGTTGCGAAGCGGTAGGTTTACCGGGGTGTTAGAAACGTCTGAGACCCTGCAAACTATTTGTAGTAAACCTTCTCTGAACCCTGGCATCCGAAGGGCGTAAATGATAGGATTCACAAGTGAGTTACCCAAGAATAGAACCAGCACAGCCATCGAAATGTGAAAATTCCTTAAAGAAGAAGATAAAAGGAGATAAGCTATATATGTTATCGCTGGTAGAAAGCAAACTAAAGATACAAGTGAAACGAATAGCGAGGTACCCGTTAGTTTCCTTTCTCTTTTGGACCTAGAATGGTATTGGGGATGACGAGTGCATCGTACTTTAATAACAATGAGAATGCAAGATACACAGATAACAGATACAGAAACTACATAAAATAGGAGATATAGATAAACATTAATTTCATCTGAAGGAGCAATCAGGATTTCCTTTAAGAAAATTTGAGCGGCTTCTCTAGCAATAGTCGTCAGCCAAATGACAGTAATCATGACTTTATAAACACATTTCTTAATAAATCGATGCCTGAATGGAAAAAATGTTGCATGTAGCCTTTCTAAAGAAATAAACACAAGATTTAAAAGGGAAGTGAACGAGAATACATGTACAAATGCAAACGATGAACGATGAGACCAAATAGTCTCTCGTCTGTACTCCCATAGAGGACACAGCCAAGACATACTGACTTCAATGTGTAGCGGCCCAGAGACTGCGCCCACTAAGAGATCGACTATCGCCAGATGAATGATCAAATATGTACTCCGCCGCTGCAGCTGACGCTTCTTCTTCATAAATACAACGATGGTGATGATATTAAGGATAACAATGACCAGACACTCTGTAATGAGGATCACAAGCCATGGAATGCACTGCCACGCTGAATTGGAAGACCACATTTTCTTTAAGCTTTGTGAGCTTCTATGAAACAGAAAACAAGTTGAACTTGAGCTAAGATGAATTTGAATTAACCTTTTTCAAAATTGATAAAATTTCAAATATTTGTAAGGCTTTTTGACCATCCTAGCTTCGTCCGATGACTTAAACTGATCTTCATGTCTCTTAATGCGATATTCACATACCAAAATGTAGTCATTCAGCGTTTTCTTTTTTTCTTTAACGAAGAATGTTTACATTAAAAAAAAAACTATTTCAATGTACACTGAATAAGCAAATGGCTTTGCCACAAGAGATCTCTATTTCTTCAACTCCGCCTCAGTTGCACGAAAATTATAGCCACCAAAAGAGGATTGCAACAAATTTTCGGAAAAAGAGTAAATTTAGACTGAGTTGAAAGACCCGATCCTCTTCTCGGAGCTGCGTTTAGACATACGGCTAGCTACTGCTGTGAGCCCCCATAAAAATTTCAAAGCCAAAATCAACTGTAGGTATGGGGAAATATAAGTTAATATTTTTATAAGCAAAAGCTTTTTTGTTTTATTTTCCACGCCCGGAAGTTACACTATTGCCTTTTTCGTTTCGAATGAATTTCTTCTTTTTGCAACTAAATGAACAGTGAGCTAAAAATACTCAGAGATGTCTCTTTCCTCGCGTTACCATTATTAAGATTATTCAACACATATCTATCTATACTGATTCTTTTTTCCTCGTCTCACCGAAAGCAGATTTTGTTATCCAATCCTAAGAATATTTGTAACTTACCTCACAGACAACGAAAGTGCTTCTATCCTGTAACAAATTGAGTTAGAGAGCGGTTTTCAAACAGATAAGAAAGCTGCATGCTGCGGAAGAGTGCAATGCAAAGTAAACTGATTAATTTTAGAACTCTAATTTAGTTTGATTGACTGATAATACGATATTTTTGGTGTAGCTGAAAAAAACCTACAAAAACATCCGCCTGGACGTTGCGATCGTTAGTGTGACGAAAGTCCTGTGTTGTCGTAAGTTTACCCACAACACAGCTGAATTAGTATAAAGAATTAAAAGAAAAACTTCGAACGAATGGAAATAAATAGTTTCTAAATCCTTGAATGGAGGTAGGAAAGGTTTTGTTTTTTTTTACGAGAGAAGTTAAATAATTGAGGTGGGGAAGTTGAACAATTTGCCAAAATAAATGTAAATTTCTATTTTTTGAAATGTGGTTGAAAACCGATTCAGTTGTTACTTAACTAGGTTATTACGTAGTTTATTTAACGTAAAGAACCATCTTTGTCAAAAATTAAGCTGCACTCTTATGTTTACAAAGCGTTAATGAATGAGACGTTAAATGGTTGCTGACGTCTTTTTACCTCATGAGGCAAGTAAAGTGAATTTCAGCTATAGTTAATAACAATAGATTTTCACATAAATTTGAATTGCGTGGATGACTGCCTATATAATTATAATTATTAGGACCTAAATTTCCGTGACAATGGGAAATTATAGTCAAAGATACAAGAAGTAAGGCTAGTCTCTTATTACAAGGTAATTTTGGTTTTTATCAACCGAGTTGTAAAGTAAATTGGCCACCGTAAAGAGTTTCAAAGCTGACGTTTCGAGCGTTAGCCCTTCGTAGGAGCGAAAGGACTAACACTCGAAGCGTCGGCTTTGAAAATCTTTATGGTGGCGAGTTTACATTATCAACTCAGGTGATAAAACCAAAATTACCTCGTTATACCCACCGACCCAGTACCACAATTTCTGTGGAAACTTACACCCTTTATTAATTGGTCTCTTATTATCTCAGTTGGCCATATAGACATCCTACTACATCTACAAAAGGATCAGAATTGTTGATATTCTCGTTTTCTTTTAATTTTTATCATGTATTTTATTTTTCGTTTTGTATTTATCTTGCCATTGCGTAACCATTTTGATGCAAAAGGTAAAACTACACCATTTCAATTAATATTATATTTTCGTATACCACCTGTGTTTTTTTTCCTACTCATTCTAAGATTTTGAATGAACACAAAAATGAATGAGACTACATCGTCAAGAACAGGCAGATGCATGTTGCTCTGCTAAGATCTTTTAGTTATCCCTAAATAAATTTTATTAACATTATCTACGCTCTTTCAAGGTTACGAAAGTAGTAGGTTCATTTGGGTGTCAGAAAAGTCTGGGGTCTTGCAAAGTATCTGTAGTAAACCGGCTTTGAATCCTGGTATCCGAAGGGCGTAAATAACAGGATTTACTAAGGATAGTGAAAGTACTTGGTATCCTCTTAAAAAACTGAATTGAAGTCATCAATAGGTAAGAAAAGAGCGAGAAAAAGAAAAGTGATATAAAGTAAACAGGTCACCATCAAGACTCAAATTCAGTTTTCCGAATGAGTGACAGATAATGGCTAAATGGAGAATGACATTGTGAGTGCAGCTGAACTGGAATAATAGGTAAGCTACGTGTATACTACACCTGTACGTCGTTAATTCAAAGAAAAGTTCCATGTCTAAGTGAACCAAATTAACCGCCGGCAAAATGACTGAATATTAAATAAATGGCGATAAGTAGTTTCTAGAAACCTTCAATAGAATTTTAAAAGTTTTGGGGATTTACGGGAGAAGTTATATCATTAAAAAGGGAATCCAACTGGCCGAGGAATCATTTCAAAATTGAAATACGACGCATTTTTTTGTTGTTGTTAATTATGATCTAAAAATATAATTTTCCTTTACAAAAACTAATTTAATCGGTTTTCCATATCTAATGTCTTCATTGAACCAGTCATTTTCGTTATTAACAACAAACTTCTCTTGACAGCTTGGTTTATTTAGGGAAGGATCGCAGTTGAATCGCTTTTCTTAACTCAAGTTATTAACTACAGCTTTTGATTTAAGTTTTCAACTAAGTATTCGCAAGATAACAAGAAATTTTAATAAAGGAAATCTTTAGAATGATGGTGAAGACCGTGGATCGTTCACATGTCGTTTTGCAAAGACTGCGCTGTTGCGGAAAGGTGGAAATAATTTATTAAATAAAGACTTTATCTTCTTGCAGCGTGAGTCACAAGTAAAGCAAACAAACTACACGGGATTACAAAAGTATAATCATAACTCAGGCGGTCTAAATTTTTGACCTTGCATCGTTTCACATGTAGTGATGTAAAGATTGCGTTGTTAAAAGGTGGAAATAATTTATTCATATGTAGTTATGTAAAGATTGCGTTGTTGAAAGGTAGAAATCATTTATTAAATAAAGACTTTATCTTCTTGCAGCGTGGGTCACAAGTAAAGCAAACAAAAAACTCAGGATTACAAATGTATAATCATAACTAAGGCGGTCAAATTTTTGACCGTGCATCGTTCCACATGTAGTAATGTAAAGATTGCGTTATTGAGAGATGGCAAAAATTTCTTAGATAATTATAAAGACTATATCTTCTTACAGGGTGGGTCGTCAGTAAAGAAAACAAACTACACGGTATTACAAGAGTAAAATCATTCATTAGGTAGTCTAATTTTTTGAAAACTAATACAGTTGTCATTTCATTTCTTAAGTTAGAAATATTTTAATGCCTAAGAAGTATATTGACAGTCTCGGTCTCGCTGTCCGTCACCGCTGGCTCGTTGCTTTATCGGCTCATGTACAAAGGAGCTTAGCAATTCACTGTTTTCTAAACTCGGGTAACTAGGGATTAATGAATTAGGCAGACTTTGAAACTATATATGGCGAACATACATTTTCATCTTATATTTTACATCGAAACTTGACAGTTTACAGAATTAAGCTTTCTTTGATAGCTTTGTTTTTGTTTTACCTCTTTAATGGTGGGCTGTAGGTGAGAATATTTCACCTCGAGTTAGTAACTACATCCTCAGTAATTTTGAACTTAATAAAATATGGATACAGGGGGCAGACAGAAGAGAAAATAATACATGCAGAATTAAAAAATAAAGTTCTGAAAATGAAATCATCTGTTTTTTGTCTTCGTTTTACCATGCCTAGAAAGTTTTGATAATTGTACCAATTTTATTACAGTAATTATCCGAAATGTTTTTCGTTATGCAAATGGTGCCTTAAGCTAAGGTCTCGGGACCTGTCATTTCTCAAAAATATGGGTAATTATTTTTTTAGAGAAGTTAGATGAAGACTTGATGAAGACTTTATTCAAGATTCAAGTTAAGATAAGCGATTCAACTGCGACCCGCCTTTCCCGAATCAACCAAGCGATAAGTTGTTATTGTTAATAACGAAAATGACTAGTTAGTGAAGATATTAGATATGGAAAACCAACTAAATTAGTTTTTTAAAAAAAAATTGATACCATAATAAATTACAACAAAAAAATGTGTCGTATTTCAATTTTGAAATGCTTTCTCGGCCAGCTAAGCTGCCTTCTTCAGTGATATGACTTCGATCTCCTGTAAACACCAAAAGCTTTTAAAAGTCCATTGAAGGTTTCTAGAAACTAATTATCACCATTTCTTTGATATTCAGGNGCACTCGCAATGTCATTCTCCATTTAGCCATCATCTGTCAGTCATTCGGAAAACTAAATTCGAGTCTCGATGGTGACATGTTTACTCCGTATCACTTTTCCTTTACTTGCTGTTTTCTTACCTACAGGTGACTTCAATTCACTTTTTAGAGGATACGAAGCATTTTTTCAATCGGTGAGGGAAGTTCGAGAGATTTGATTCCTTTGCAAACTCTAACTTCGGTTAGATGACGGAATCTAATAAATACGATTGGAGAGACATTATGCAAAATCCTGTGTAGGCCTGACGAAAATCAAGAAGTGTTTAAGTTTTATTCGCTTCTTTTCAATACTTATAAAACGGTTAAGGCATTTGGGATCACTTGTGTAGAGTTGTTGCTTATTCAGAATAAACCAAAAGAATGTCATTATGTTGACCAAAGAAGGAATTAGTGAAAAATGAGTCAAAACACAAAGTATAAATAAGGAGAAAAAACATTCTCGGAAAATAAAATAAACAAAGAGTTTTTGCTTTCAAAAGTGTTAGTTATATCTTGTCGCATCTACAGGTTTAACTACCCCGCAATTTTCATTGCGGCCAACAGCGACCGCATTTCTAATAGCAGCTCCGAGAAGAGGATCATGGTTTACTTTTCGGCCTCGCAATGCATTCCATGGCTTGTAGTCCTCATCATTGAATGTCTGGCCATTATCATCCTCAATATCATCACCATTGTTGTATTTGTGAAGAAGAAGCGTCAGTTACAGCGGCGGAGCACATATTTGATCATCCATCTGGCGATAGTCGATCTCTCAGCGGGTGCAGTCTCTGAGCCACTGCAGATTGAAGACAGTATGGCTAAATTTTGCAATTTATGGAAGTACCGGTCGGAGATAAACTGGTTATATCATATAAAATTAGCATTTCGACACTTATTTTCCTTTGCATCGTTAGGAAATCTTGTTGTTATTGCACTAGAAAGGCTACACGCAACATTTTTTCCATTCAGGCATCGTTTTATTGAGAAATGGGTTTACCGAGTAACAATAATTGTCGTTTGGTTAACAAGTACAACTAGAGAGGTCGCTCAAATTGTGTTATCGGAAGAATCTCAGGATGGTAACAAGAAGTTAGCGAATAAGATCCTGTACTTTCCTGTTTACATATTTGCTATTTTTATTATCTGTGTATCTTACTCTCTCATCGCTATCAAAGTACGATGCCGTCGCCATCCTCAATTCCATTTGGCGGCAAAGATAGAGAGAAAACTGACGGGTACCTCGCTTATAGTCTCACTAGCATCTCTGCTGTGTTTTCTGCCAGCTGTAACATATCTAAGTATATTTTATTTTCTCAGGCCGTTAAAGAGTTTTCATTTTCATATGGCTGCACTCTTTACGTTCTTGGCTAACTCATTGATAAATCCTGCAATCTACGCGTCGCGGATGCCAGGATTCAGAGCAGGTTTATTGCAAATATTCTTTGGAGCTCCAAACCTCTTAAAAGCCCCAGTAAATCTACCACTTTGTAAACTCAGGGCCGTAGCTAGCACGAGGCAAGACGAGGCAATTGCCTTGTCTTGATTTTGGCCTTTTTTTTGGGCACCAGTATCACTCAGAAATAAAAAAGTGAACTTCTACATTTGCCCAAGATTGACTTGTCTGAAGAAAAATATGCATGAAAGAGCATTTCTGAGCCTCTAGATTTCAAAATTTTCTGGGGGAAGCATGCCAGGCACGAAACTTGCCTCGTCTTGAATAAAAAAGGGATTACTTTAGTGCGTGTATCTTTGCTTTTTCTGCCGGATCGTAGTTTGTTTTTCCTTGACAGGTTAATTTACATGGACGAACCCAAACTTTTGAAGGCTGTATTTTAAACGTATGGAAATATAGTGAAGCATTTCATGTGTGAAATTTTTTCCGGTTTTATATTCCCTAAATTTCTCTCGAATGG